TCCCCTCGAAGCAGACTCGCTTCTATCTCGTCTTATTCCTCTCTATGGTTGTCCGTTTGCTTGTTGCTTTCGGTCTCTCTGTTTCTCTCGGTCTCTCTCTCTCTCTCTCTCTCTCTCTCTCTCTCTCTCTCTCTCTCTCTCTTCTCTCCCTCTCTCTCTCTCTCTATCTCCATTCAATTCTCTCTTACTCCCCCCCCCTCTCTCTCTTTCTCTCTTTTCTCTCTCTCTCTCTCTGTGTCTCAGTTCGTCTGTCTATCTGTCTGTTAGTCCCCCCCTCTCTCTCTCTCTCTCTCTCTCTCTCTCTTTCTCTCTCTTCCTCCTTTCTTTCTCCCTGTCTCTTTTCCTCTCGCACTCTCACCCCTTCCTTTTGACTATCACATCCTCCCTACTCAATGCTATAATTAATTCTTCCTTCTCTTCGACTCCGCGATTCCTGTTCCAATTTCTCTCCCCCTCTCCCCTTCATCTCTTTCTCCTCCGCCCTATCCACTCTCGCTCCCCTACCCTCATTCTGTTTATAGAGGGATATAAACAAGACATAAAAACGCGAAGTAAATAAACCTGCATCCCACGTCCCTCTCCTTCCCCTGACACAAAGGTTGTTGCGGTGTGGCGATCGAGGGCGCGGGGAGCGTGGCACGGCAAAATAAGCTTTAATTCTTGCCTTGCCGCATAACCAGTTGGTAAGAGGTGAATACTTTCCTTTAAATTGCAGTGGGTAGTTTCCATTGGGTCGGGATGAGTATTTTCTCTTATATCATAGCAACTATTTCCCATTGTATCCATAGCATTTTGTTATATCTTAGTAACAATTCCCCAATATATCGCAATGAATAATGTCCATTCTACCGCAATACGTATTATCCATTATATCGAAATTTACCATTAAGTCACAATTAGTACTTCCATTACATTGAAGTGAAAATGGAGTTCATGAAAGATTTTGAGATACTCTCCTTAACAGTTTCGCACGGCACAATTTCGATTGATTTCACTGACATGTCGCATAACCTAAATCTTTACAGCCTCTAAATGATTGTACTGACAAACATGCCCGGGATCTGATCTCTTCTGGCTCAAAGTGGGAGGACCACTGTGTATCTCAGCGCTCGTAAAAATGATCCTTTCAAATCTATACTTTTGTGTATTATCTGTAAATACGGTGAATCAGAATGTTGTCCTATTTCTTTCTCTCAGATAAAACATCTTGTAATGAATCATTTCGTAACTTCGGCCCCGGGGAAGAACTTTTGTTATTGAGAGTACAACTTAAGCAATGGAAACTTATGCGAGCTCACATCATACTTAGTTGTTGTAATATCTTACTGTATAAAGTTTCGGTTTTGTAAATTATTCATATTTTGTCGATCACCCTTTACCCTCAGTTCTTACTTCGTTTGGTCGGAAGGAATTCTTAAGAGCAAGACTTTCAAAAAACATTCGCACCAGTTTCTCCACGGAACAATTTGGGAAAGTCAGTGCAACGTTTAATGCAAATAAGATGTATATATTAAGTGAAACTAATTTGCTCTGATAACCCTCTAAGTCCAAAAAGTATCATAAAAGTAAATAGCGCAGATAAGCATCATCATCAGGAGAAGGTTTCGGCCCACGCATATTTCTGGTTGCGATGCCCTGTCTAGGTATCTAATTGCTTTTACACAGTAATTCCCAGCTATCTCATTAGCAAATGATTGTTATTATAATGTGTATAACTTTATAACATGATTAAGGCTGTCACATCGATAAACGGGTTAAGAGACCAACTTAATCATTTTACTTAAATTTAGCGAAATCCCAGGCACCACTAACAGCATCGAAACCACCTTGTGATTATGGTCACTTTCTGTTGTGTTTGCATATATGATATCAAAAGCGCCATTAAACACTGCTTTCCTCGACTTTACTTCAGCTGCAGGCGAGTCGTTTGAAGTGAACTCCTTTTTTAAAAATAAAGTTACCCGCAGATGGTAATACAAGCACAATACTTCAGTTTCACACGCGCACGCGAGTACACGCATACACACCAACACGCACACATAAAGGCAAAGAAGAAGAGGAAGAAAGAAAAAGAAAGAAAGAAAAGAAAGACAAAAAAAAGCATACATACCTACAGGTACAAAAATACATATTCCTTGGGCAGAAAATTTTATTCCCTCTTAACTTCACAACGGCTCCTGAATACACACTAACGATTTGCTTGCGCGCTTCGACTCCCGTGGACAACGAACACTCGACGTTTTCTTTGAGTGTTCTATTCAAGTAAAACCCGAAATCGCACAACACAGTCTACCGATTTTCCGTTACTGCCGTTCCAACATGCGTTTTCGCGGAGAGGAAAATAGGAGCTTCTGCCATGAATACCAGTGATACCAGCTGTAGACTGAGAGGATGACCGGATATGCATGAGTATTAACTCCCACTCCGGAAAAGGCCATGGACCAAAAAAGGAGTGCGAGAGGGACAGGAAAAATACATCTAAATATATATTGGACAAGAG